GTACAATAAAAAGCTGCCAAAAGCCACCCCGATGTTAACTGAAGCTCACAAACAAAGGCGGGTGGAATGGGCGAAAAAACATTTACAAGACAATTGGAATAAGACTGTATTTACTGATGAAACAGCATTCCACTTGTTTAGAAATACAGTTGAGAGATGGTATAAAGTAATTTATAATAACTATTTGTTTGGCTATTTACGATATTAATAATATAGCGATAGTTCGATTTAATGATTATCATATACCATAACCGGAATGGTTTGGAGTTAGGCAACCCGCAAGTCGTTCTCAGTTGGTTTGCTTTTGTCCTTCGCGAGTTGATACAGCAGTAAGTCCGTACAAAAAATATTCGTTTAATGAGTTGAAGTTGAAGATATCTATACACGAAACTTGTGGACAATAAATAACGTAATACACGTAGACTTCATAATTGGCTACCTATTAGACATAATGTTTATAAGATTAAGGAATGCTGCTTCGAACCGAGATATTATTGCTGCAGCCAGCTAGTATGGTGGAAATGAGACATCAAACATCGTTTCGCATGCTTGATATAATCTTGGCGCACGTATAGATGGCATACTTGTAGCAAATGTTATTTGCGTTGTTGGGATGCATCGTTACGCGCCAAGGCCATGCAGCAATATTATAAAAATAAATCTTCGAACGTATTTGATATTACATTCTCGCATAAGGCCATCTGTAAACAATAGAATAAGGTAAAGGTTTAATTTTTACAGAAGTGCCGGAAATTTACTTCAATAGGGAGATTTCGAGCAGACGTAGTTTTGTTTTTTTATCGTATCTTCAGGATTTGATTTTCCTTGGTTAACTTTAAGCGTAGTTCAGTTTTAACTGTTCCGGAGTAACATTCTTCAGCTAGTGAACACGCCTACGTAAAAGATATTATCGCTCTCCCACTCATAAACTGACTAACGCGTCGTTTAATGACGGATTATACATAACAAACCATGGGCCTTTGCACTTGGCAATATATTATTCATAATACATTCCATTATTACCAGAACGAGACATATGAGCAGAGTAATACAGGAAGACGAATTTCATTGTCGGGTGAACTTAAATGTCAAAATGAATGAAATAATTACGAATCTTCGATACTGTTCAAGTCATAATAATCTTGACTCATTCCAAGTTCAGTAAATATTGTCACGACGGGGGGTGCTGTGGTAGTAACAATAATGAATACTTGTAATATAATCTCTTAGATAATGACAGTTTCTCTTTGTACACATTAAGATAACCAACACGTTGATAGCTCCATTTATTTATGACCTTCGTTATTCTCGTCTTCACTTGTCATATCATGTAATTAATTACGCTGTTGCGTTTCCTCTCTGTACATGTCAGATTCATTACATAGCGCGCGAGTTAGATGCGCCATCTCCTATAAATCTTACGATACTTGGCGACGTCTTTATTGATTGCTTACATTCTCCGCCATAACGCATGTATAAATAAGCTATTAAGCCCGTAGAACAACTTTTATGAACAATGCTTCAACTCTCAGTCCTGTCAAAAAGAATAAATTTTTTGGTTTCATTCACAATTCAAAATGTTCAAGCCATGTTTATACGGCTCGGATCTTTGGTATGAGTGTATAATTCAAAGAAAAACTCATATGCTCGTCTTGCGCAAGTATAAAACCGGAATAGTGTACATGACATATGTCGTGTGGCTTGTGATTTATAAAACGAACAATACTGAGATAATATACAGATATCTATATATGTGTTTGATATTGTGTCATCGCTGTCTATCAAGCGTCCATTTAAACTTGAATATCATTCTTCGTTGACAATACTTGATATCGTCCTTTTTTATCACTGGCCTTTTGTATTTTGTAGTAATTATATGATGCGATTCCCAAAATACTTATTACAAGACTGTAATGGAAAACACGGAGACAAATAAAGATTTGTTATAAATAGAGGAATTTATAGTCAGTAGAAATACTTATTATCTTCATTGCGATTTCAAAATACGCCATAATACATACCCGATTACGTTAATTGGTGTAAGAATGTCGTGGTTGATGAGTACCGATAACGTAATGATAAACACTTCTTTGCTTATTCCAGCAACAGATAATGTCACCGTGCTCGTGTTCTTAATCAGTGCAAACTCGGCCACAGTCATAAAAAATGCTAAAAGTCCTCCAGCTAGCATCAGCCCAAATGTCGACATTGCAGAAGAGAAATTTTGAAAGTGTTCAGAAGTAGCAAATTTGTTGATCGGATTTTCGAAGAATAAAGAGAGCGTAATCATTAAAATAAACATCACCGGGGATACATAATAAAGTGTTGCGATTGGATCATTCATCCCTGCTTCTTTCTGAAGAAGCATCTGCATCAGTGACCATCGCAACCCACTGAAAATTGCCGCTCCCAATATTAAAAAAAACCCAATGAGGTCGAATTTAGCTTCTCCTGCAACCGTCAATCCAACACCAAAGCTTATTACTGATATAATCATGATAAGTGAGAGTCTCGGCTGCTCTAATCCAAATACAAATGCAAACAGCAAAACCCATATTGGAGTGGATGATTTCACCTAAATTGAGGATAAACCGTTTAAATCGTTTGAAAATTATAGTCATCTCAACGTTGACGTGTTAGGTTGGCCCCAACGTTAGTCCGATTCTACAACACAAATATGTTCTCCACAATATTACCATCGTATAAAAACTTAGTGTTATGTATACAAGCGCCCCGTTTGACATACAGATTTCTAATGCAGCTGTAATAGCTGCCGGCACCTAATATAAGAGAAACAATTCAAACTATGCTCGAATTGCCTTAATCAAAATAATTTCAAGATTCAGCATCCCCCACACACTCTCTCTCATCACTCACCACTCTGGACCAATAACTCTTCGACTTCACACTCTTTGCCTCAGGACTCACGTAAAGCATTGAGCAGTTTCCTCTCATTAAGAAACTCGTAATTATGAAATGCATACCAGTATGCATAGCGCTCACCAATGATGGAAGATTCAGATTAAATCCATCTTTACCCATCAAATATTTATTGTAAAATGATAAAGCCGTAGAGAAAAAGTACCACGCAGATATATACATCGTGATCCTCAACGCAGACGTCCATGTGAACCGACGTGCCTGCTTTGAATCTTGTTCTATTATGAGATTTTGGACCACATTTAATTCCCCTTGCGAAGATATAGCCTGAGGTAGAGAAATAGTGAGATTTTTATTGGTCTGTGAACCGCGGAAAGATTTGGATTTCGCAGTCGGTGAATTCAGCAGGCTGTCTCGTTGAACGACGGTGTTTGACGAGTCTGTTGGCAAAGACTCTAGTGGTACCTCCTCTCCAGTCTCCATGTCAAAACTTTTATAGGTATGATAGTGGTGTTATTGGTTTGGACACTCCAAAACTTATTCAAGAGAAAACTATTGTTGAGATCAGCGTACAAAGCAAGTTGAGACAAATTTGGAAGACCAAATGTGCATTGCGGTGGGGTCATCGAAACTTCGATTAATTTTGGGTGACACGAAAAACCTGACCCTTATTATTATGATTACAGAACGTTGCATGCAACAAGCAGTTAATAAATGTTGGGCATTGCCTGACTGTTTATCCATTTGCAAGTTGAAGCGTCTTAATCTTCCAGATTGGTGTTATCGTCAATATCTATCTATTTAAAAAATTCGTTCTACAGTAGCATCCTGCATGGCCAAAAAAAGTGCCGATCGTAAGTCGTAAGAAATCGCGCTCTACAATTCGAATCTACCGGCTGTTTTTTTTTAAAAAAAAACTGAAGTAGAGGCTACCTCGTTTTAGGTAAACCGAAAACTGATGTTATGCCTAATTTCACTTTCCGTGGATCAAAAGTTTTCTTGTTGATAATAAAAAAATTATGGTCAATAATTCTGACACATTTTCCTCCACTTTATACTCTAGTCAAATTAATCCGCCCGTGCTCTGTATACACAATATGCTGTACTACGACCATACTCACGGTATATGGGTTAGCATTAAACCCGTTTTTATACCAGATTAATGAATATAGTAGTAAATAGCATTATCATAATACGACAATGCAATAATTCTTCGTGGATAACACTATACACGTGACCTTAACTATAAACAGCTGAATTAGGTAATCAGTCGATGATTCTGTGCACCGTATGAAAGTCTTTGTTTATGGCAGCGATTCTCCATACCTGTTCGGAAAACTTCTAATAAAGAATTCTCTTTATACCAGGATATGACTTGTTTGCGATACGAATTAATTCATTTATCATTTCTTGTTTTATTTTATAAAACTGCGCCTTTTACCTGAGCTCCTTAACGTCTTTGCGATATTCATCGCTAAATGTGAATATCCACATCTCAGGTTGAAATGCACTCTCGGTCAATCTGGTTATAACAAAGTTCACTGAAAGTCTTCCTTAAAAGTGAAGTTTGTTATAACAAAAAATTATAATTATTTTATTCTATCTAAAGTGCGCATTTATTAATTTTACAATAAATAATGTACTATTTGTATTTATCAATTAGTAAATCAGAAAAAATTTTCAAACGCTCGAACATAATAAACAAGACAACAAAACTCAATAGGGTAGATGACTTATTTCATAAATGTTAATAAACATTAAAATGTTGTTTTAATTGTGACTATATCTTTCTAGTTTGTATATTGAGAATACTGTACATTTGGCTGACAAATCAATTCGAATGAGACTGATACAGTATCTTTTGGTTAATATATTTGCAAGCCACTCAATAATCTCCTTGTCAATTATTTTAGTCTCTTCTTCCGCGCTGTTTTCAAGAATACAGATAACGATTTCTTGGTCATTGCTTTCTTTTTTATCGTCAAGATTCGTTGGCTATATATTGTCTTTTTCTAACACTTCGTCGATTTAATGCTGAATGTTCGATCTAGAAATCTTTGTTATAACCAGATAATTCATGTAACTAGACAATTTACCCGAAAAGGATGGACAATAGTAATAGCAAATTTTTATAACAGATTGACTATAAATTTCAGAATCCACCAAGTTTTACGTGACTTTGTTTCTTGAGAATTACGCCTGTTACACACAGACTATGTGCTAATGGAAATGGCCAAATAATTTTGCTGAAATTAATGACTCAAGTTTTGCAGAGGGAAAGAAGAAATCTTACTATTACTTGTCAGATGAAAATCGGAGTCCAAGTATCAAACTAATTTTAAATATAAAAGCAAACATTAAATTATTTCAGGAAATAATTGTAACTTTACAGAGGGAAGAAATCCAACAAAACACTCAAATTATTGGTTATATCTTTGAAATGGCATACTAACCATTTAACGTAATAGGATAATTTGAAAACAGAAGACACAGCCCTCGCATACGTCCTACATACATGTATTATTGAATTACGTCAGTTTCGGGTTCGGCTAAGAAAACGAATCTGAACGCTGATAATCAGGGTCTCATACCTGTAATGCCTATCTTCTATCCTCCTCACCATGAAAACGTGTTACTGAGGACTACCTACATGCTCAAACTTTGAAGACAGCTCTTAATGATTTGAAAATATTCTATGACCAGCTGAGCCATGACAGCAATATCCAACAAAATCAGCAGATTAAGATGTCTTTTTCATACTAATACATTAGCAAAATGAGTATTGGGCAGATTGTTGCCAACATTATCTATGTCAAAAAGTAGACTGTTATGTTTTTCAAGCACAATTGGAATATGATAATCTCAACATGTGATTGTCAAGTTTGCTATATGCTAAAAGATATTCTAAGACATGTCACTGTACATGTCAGGGACTGGGAATTGCACCAAGATAAAATATAAATATGGTTCACTATATTCTCTTGCTCAAGACAAAAAGTTGTCAATGCAGAAGACTGCAGTAGAGGCAGTAAAGAAAATGCATAATGAGTGTTTGTGCATGGTGATATGAGACCTTCAAACCTCATGGTAGGTCCCAATGATTCAGTAAAAATACTAGACTTTGACTGGTCCAGTAATAATATTTCATCACTTCGTCATTAACTGCATCAGAACTTAATACTAATACTGTATGACAGGCACTAAAATCAACTACTTCATCATTATCATAAACTTGTCAAAAGAATTCAGGGATTTGGCCATTGGCCCAAGTTAATTTTTTTACTTCACAAGGAAAAGGAGCTCTCATAATACTAATAGTAAGGTCGGAGAGGCTGTTTACTCACCCCTCCTGAATTCTGAGATTAATTGGCATTCTGATGTCAAAGCTGGAGCAAAATACTGCCAGCTCATGACTTGTATATATGCTAGATAATGGCTTCAATGGTGTGTGATATATTTATCACTGACTTAGATCAGATAAAGAGTGCCACCATATATTATTACTATTGATGGAGTGAGTAGAATAAGAATAATTTGATTAGTATTATTTTTTACAGTGTGAATTTGGAATGTAATAATGTTTAATGAATTGATTATACAAGAAAAACTATGGTCAATCAATTTGATCGAAATTAAATTAATGTCTTTACACAGTAAACCTGGATATAGCGATGTTTTTTTTTGTTTTTTTGATGCCACGAATTTTGTTTAATAAAATTTCCTATAACGAAAACCTGCTATCACAAAGAAAAAAGGCGGATTGGAGGCACTCCATTATATTCAGTTTCACTGTGTACATCTAGAATCATAAAATATATATATAAGATTACCCGTATATGGAAAATTCTATATAACAGCTCCACCAAATATGAAAAAGCAATCCGTGGTTTAGAGATAGGTTGCAATTGTGGTTGTTCGAAAATGATTCCAAGAGAAAGTTTGCCGCATTACGTGAAGCGTTTCAAGCTCTCTAGACCCGAGCAAGATATATTTTTTAATGACTCAGCTGAAAGCAATGAATGGTGGAGAAATAACCGCCAGTCGACGTCTTAAGAAAACGCGCACCAATAAAAGAACATTTTATTATTGAGATTACAATACGCCTCTTTGTCAGAAAACGTATCTCAATATGTTAGGATCAGTCACTACAATTCGAAAACGTCAGAAATTATCTAGCGGCGAATGGGATAGTACCGCGCGTTTATGGTAATGCCAAAAGAGTGCCACGATGGAAAACCGAAATAACTGTTGATATAACCGTTGCGTTGCCACTGTCGTGAAAATTTTTCTCGAAACTATACTGAATACATGGATTACCAAGTCCTGGTAGAAATGTCAACCGAATTACTCAATCGCTTACACTTTTGCCAGTCGAAACGAGTTACAATTGATCTGCCATATAAACTCTTGTGATGATGTAGCAACACCACTGCACAGAACAGCACAGTAAATAAGGGGTTACCCATGTGCACCAATGAAGACCTTAAAACTTCACTGCACAGAGGAAGTATCACAGAATGCCCTGGTGGTCGTTCTCTTTTCGAGGATTTCAAACCTGCTAACAACTTGGCTTTACCCAGACCATCCATCAAAGCTGGAATCTTGTCTCATGGAAAATCAAAGTGAGCAAATTTGACCTCTACTTACAATAATGAGAACTTGCAGAAAAAGGTGTTGTAGTTATAGTTATAATAATAACGGAGTTCTAATATCCTTTTAAAAGCTCTTTTACAACAAATTTCACAGATAATAATGTGCAAGAATTGGTTTAAAAATGGAGCAATTTTTGCACCTCTCTCTCTTTTTCTTTTCTTTTTAAAAAACAAAACAAAACAAAAAACAAAAACAAAAACAAAAACAAAAAAATAGTGCTGTAATTTTTTGATGTAAATTAATTTTATAATAATATTTTTTTATATAGTAATAGCGTTTCTTAAAAGTCTCGCATGTGATTGGATATTTTAAGAATACATTGTCACGTTTACATTCTTGTGTTCAATGCAAGTATAACGATCGTGCAACTTACGATCGTTTATTGCTTTAGTTTCTTTGTTTGCAACATGTGAGAGATCGAAATGCTGATATTAATATTTCTGTTTTCAAAGGATTACCTGCATTCAACATTCTGGTAACGTTCAACCGACAAAAGTAAAAAATTTTTTGTGGGATTGTAGTTAAAGAAGCCAGTCTAGGAACGTCAGCGTGCAATGTCTATTATTATTTTTGTGTTACATCTTACACCCGATACTCGAAAAATACTAATACGAGCACAAGATGATACTTTATCACTTGCTAATCAATACTCTCTGCACCAACCCACCCCCGCTCATCCGACCAGTCTTATATATAGACTCGGAAACACTTTCCTTAATTCACAAATAATCTTGTCATATTAATACTCTATGTATAATGGTCAGGCGCATATCAACTTATAGACTAGTTCAAAGCTTCACAGCTGCAATCTTCCTCACTCTAGTCTATCTTTCCATCTCACCCACTTCAACCTCTCTCCCAAAGCATGACTTGCTAGGCAGACCATACTGTGAACGCTCTCTTACCTTCGTTCTCTCTGACTGCTGTGACTTTTCCTTCCAGATGATTGGCCTTGTCAATGCTATGATCTATGCAGAAGACACTGGTCGTTCTTTCTTTCTTGCCGACAAGAACTGGAATTATGGGCGATGGGGTAGCTTCTTCAAAAAGTTGGCGAAACCATCGTGTATTCGACCTGAGACTTCCGACCTGTATGTGCAATTCCCAAATACACCACTTGGTCCGGACGAATTGAGAGAAACAGAAGCGAAATTCAAGACAGCATCACACGTTGTCATGAATCGATGGTCATGGTATCTATTAGATGAACATATAGAGACGGTTTATCATGAGAAGAAGCATTCGTCCGGCATACCAGCATACGCGAAGATATTCAAAGCACAAGAGCGAGTATTACATAATATATGGCATGTCAATAAGGAGGTACAAAATCTAGTTCATCGAGAATGCGAGGTCGGTGAACTACCTTATGCCCGGTCAAGGGCCACTAAGGACAACTTCTACATTGCGCTCCAAATACAACGCGTCAACCATATTGGCAAATACGTAGCGGCGGCCGAACGAGTTCTTCAAAGGATACCTCAAATCAAAAACGAAATTACGGTATTTGTTAATGCTCACACTAATACTTCGCACGCACGCAGGCGCTTGATGAAACGACGTCCCGATTGGAAGGTCGTCGTTTCGTTTGAGGATGATTTCCAGTTTCGATTGGATGATACCGCTCCAGATAGTAAAGGACTAATGGCATACGATCTAGAGTCGAGAGTGGATTTCGGCATGGCTTTCGTGACTGATATAGTTCTTATGGCAGAAGCAGATCATCTCGTATGCTCATTTGGGACGCCCGTATGCAGGCTTGTCACATTGTTGAAAGGGCTCAGGAAAGTGAAGTCTACTACCAGCATTGATAAACAATGGTTTTCTACGTTGTATCCATTGAATGGCTATAATGAGGTATATAATCCGCATAAAGCACGTTGGAAGAAACAACCTCATCGACCAACTAACGGGGATGGCAAGAAAGGTCGTAGAAAGGGTGGTAGGAAGGGTGGTAGGAAGTACGGCAAATCTCGCGCAAGTTGAAGGGTCAAGTCAATATGGTGGCTTCACCGGGTGGACTACTTGAAATATTCAATAGTAGATGGACGTTCAGGTAGATAACAATGGGGCGATCGAGTGTCATAACAGCAGTTATTGCTTGGCTATTGCACAAGATTAATCACGTTTCACGTACAATATCTAGTTGTATCATTTCCATTGTTTAAATCGACGGCCAAATTCCGTCATCCATAAAAATATAGAGCTGGGATCTGTCATTAGAGTGTTTTAATGTAATATTTGAATACATCATGAGAGATTTTGTTACTATGCGCAAAGAGATAATAAATCAACGTGTCGCATTTAAATTGGTACTTACTATTTTGAGGTTAATTTGTTTTTGCAATACTCCAACGAAAATATTTTCGTGTCACCTCATATTTACTATAATTGGAAAGAGAATGTAAACAAAGCACGACGCGTCGGTGGAGATTGTAATTATTTCCAAATCGCGACATTGTTTCAAACGAAATTTCTATTCTGCGCTTGTCCCGCTACTCCGCGTCTGTATTCAAAGCATAGGACAAAATGTCAAACGATTTGTCAGCTCCGTCTTGGACGATTCAAGTTTTCAACCAAGACGATACAGTAAGACTTGATTTGCGGCTAGAAGAAGACCTCATGTCTCGTAATAAAACCCAGCCAAGATACGCGGATAGAAATCAAAAAAATTGTGTTTACAAGATTGAATCTATTGCGTGTCTTTCAAAGGACGCAGAGGACAAGGTTTGCTATACCGCTATGACTATACTGGGTTCAAACATAAAATTTTAACTGCTTCACCGTTTGTTTGTAACTGCCAGCGAGTTACTATATATGATGTTGTTGCCTCAGCGGATATAATATGTATTGCATTGTCCACTATGGTCTATGTGCTTAATGTGGCGGGGAAAGAAAACACCATTCTCATTGCTCTTGGTAAGAACTATTTTTCATTGACAACGAATACGACGTTCAATCTCATCTCACTATTACGATAAAAAAGAACATACGCCTCAATGCATCGCTTTGAGTCACGATTCAAAATTCCTGGCGATAGTGGACATTATGTGCAACGTTACTATCTACCATGTCCAAACACAGAAAATTGTGGTCGGGCCATATACTGTTGTAGACAAGAATGACAGTTGTCAATGCAAGGCTGTACAATTTACAAATGCCACAAGGTTGTATTGCTTTTCGAGAGCCCATTCATTGAGAACATTGAACGAGCAAGTACTAATGTGTAATATGGAACAGCAATTCTGAACGCGAAGATTTAGTAATCGTATGGAGTGATATGAAGATGAGTGTATTATCTAATCTAGATACAAGTAGGATGCAAGAAAAAAACTGGTATAATAATGTACGTCTGCATGAGAATTCTGTTTCTTGTGGGTGCTTGGTGACTCATGTTATTGACAAACGCCTTATCAGGAACCAGATATGATTAATATTGGATTGCGCGACCATGGACTATACGGAGATCTTTTGGTTAGTGATGTAACGTTGTGGAATAATAAGAACAGTCAAAATATGACAATAGCAACTCAAGGTATAATAGTAATGCTCCCTTTAATTTTATGTTTATATATGATTTGGTATTCAATTAAGCAAATTGGTTATTCAGATAAGGACGGGAAAAGTTCGGCAATATCGGTCTGGCATTGTAAATCATTCACATCTTCACCAAGTGTGAATCTGACAGATGCTGTCGCAGGAATGTTTGAATGCATTTCAATTACAAAAGTTTGTCTCACACATGATAACAGAGTACTTGTAACTCTTGACTCACGGGGCAGTATTCATATGTGGGATATGCGAAGGTAGTAGCACTAAAAAACACTTAATGTTTGTATTCTTCAATTTCAACAGAGATTTACTTTTTTATATATTGTAAACAGTTTAATTTTACTTGATTATTATCCCAATGTCAACATCTTTGATTTTATCCTGATGTCATCACCCGCAAAAACTTCGGATGCTATTTACATTCTGGCCTTGTCTAATATTGATGAAAGTACTACATCACGATCGATACAAGTAATCAAACTGCCAGGATTTGTAATCATAAATAGTGTCAAAGTTTCGATCGATTGTTGGTTAGTTCGGCCGGAAAACAAGGTATGTACATTAATGGTTAAGAATTCTCCCGTAAAAATGCATTAGTACTCATTATAATATTATACGTTGTCTACCAGTATAGCATAGACGCCGTCTATTTTATCGAACGATGGCAGACTGGGTGAGTAACGGTCATTAGTAGTATCATAACGCGTTGGGTAACAGCAATAATGGCTAATAACAAAGGACGTCGATACGATCAGTCTTGTAGCTCAAGCTGTCTCAGAAACCATTCCGTTAAAGCGATTTGAGCAATTAATAAGCAAACGAAAATATGCCGATGCTATTCGATTTGCTGAACAGTTTGATTTAGACGTGGAGGTATATCGACAATTTCGACAATTACAGAAACCTATTATGTTGATGTGACTCAATTAACACGTTTTTATATACGAGCAGGTCGTTCTCAAGGCAAAATTTAGTAATATGCTTACCAACACGTCCGAAGATTTATTCGAAGTGTATTATGACACAACATGCGATCTCGCCGAATCATTAATAAAAGATTTATCTCAAATAAAAGTAATCTATTAATATTTGCGTCACATTATTATATATTTTCCCGAACAACTAACTTGCTTGTTAACCCAGGACGATGCATTCCGTATCAACTTCTGCCTGCAAGCCATCCTCCCAACACAGTCGTCTACATACAAGCTACTGTGCTACGCTCGCTCACTCATTCAGTCTTCACCATCAAGTAACTGCATTCATACGACGGTAGTCCATCAGGCCATACAACGGCTCGGGACTTGGCAAATGTTGAACGAATACCGCGGAAGTCTTTCTGGTGAGAATGCTTGTTTTAATGGCAAGGAATGGCAAAAGTTCCGCGTGTGTGATCTGGGCTTGGAGATGAGACGATTAATTGGTATGGGGAACATCAAACTTGCAAGTGTTGTATGGCGGAGGCATTGTATTGGTAAGGGCTTGCGAATTTAACAAAGAAGTGATTATCGTAGTGTATAGGAATAATACTAATGCGAATTGAATAGATGAAGATTTAATGAGCGTAATCGAAGATATCTTGAACGAAATGCCAGAAAATATTAGTATCAGAGAATTAGTTCCGTGGCTACGAGATGATTTATTGCCACGAATACAGAATTCGGAAAAGAGGTAATCTCAGTGGTCGACGTAGCAGTTTTGTCATCTTGACTATTTGTAACTTTTATTTTCGCAGAGTCAAAGTGATTTCGTGGGTTGAACATCGGGCTCGTATGATTGAGCTTCGAGAGCAAGACCCTCATAATGCATTGGAAATTATGAGACTAATTGATGATGGCGGTACGGATGAAAATTGTGAAAACACTTCAAGGTAGTAATGGTAGCCTTAAAAAGCATTGATGATTTGAAACGTCTTCTTTATAAAGTTTGCTTTATTCACACGTCGACTTTGTCTGATGCAAGGACGTTCGCGTCAACAACGCCAGCTTGTTATGTGGATTCTATTGTCAACCTTCCACAATTTGCACCACAGAGAGGTGGGATCGAGAGTGCGAATGCGAAATTAAGACAACAATTGGAAGATCTGGTTTATCTATGGGTGAGTTTATGCTCCACAGCTTGACAATTAGATTTAGTTCCATAGAACACTTTTAAAAACTAGTTGATTTTATTAGGATACACATAATTTCAGGCTATCGTTAAAGGAATTCTGCCATGAGACACCGAACTCTATTGGTTAGTGGAGCGATTTTTTAACAAACACATTTCGATTGCGTTTAACAAATGCTCTACTTTATAAAGCCATTGCATTGCTGGATTGCGTCGCCGCATCTGAGCTCTTACAAGATGCCGTAGCTCGTCATTTTATACCGTACGTGGAAAAATGTGGATTACCGTACGATGATCTACTAGTAGACTATTGTTTGGACTACATGGATGGTGTAGGTATGTCGTATGACATGTATAACGAATGTATTACTATAATCACTTAGTATTTACCGTCATCAATCGATGCTCTAGCTGGATCGGGCACGGCTACACTATCTAATGGTATGCATAAACGGTTTACGTTATTCATATCAATTAATCATATTGACTTGGCATTTTCTGAAACTTTGTCTTTGGCTAGCATTATGGGAATCACGGATTTTGATTCTTGTCGATTGTATTCGCAATGTTGATTCCCGCGTCGATGTTCTTATCGAGTTTATGCGCCGAACTGCCGTACCGTGGAGCGATGGGTTAGAGGCGCTCATTAAAAAATGTTCGACTGAACAGAATCTCCGTCGCAAAGAAGAATTTCAGGAGCAATATCGGTTGTTGCAAATGAGAAAGATGTTACTACGTTATGGGATAAAAAATTTTAACATATCGGATAGTACGATGGCGAAAGGTAAAGTAAAACGAAGGAAACATATAGACGGAATTATCGCATCTAATTCGATGTCCCTGTGATGGCGCTATATGTAGGATTGCTATCTCATGTCCTGGAACATACAGATGTTGACTCGGTATTGGAAGACTCGCTGATGGTATGTCAAGTACACATGTGTTTCTGCCTTGAATGATTACTTATTGTTTGGATATATTAGATTGTAGATACATATCCGCACTTGAGCAAGTTAGAAGTATATGTTCTCAGAATGCAAACGCTCTGCATGACGGGGAGTGTTGATAAAGTAAAGGACTTGCTGGAAAAACTTACAGAGATTGAATCAGCTGAGCGTACAGATGAGCTGCCCAATGTAATTTATTGTGTCTGCCAGCAGGTTTTGGCTTGGTTAATCGAGATAATTAATGACGTCGCAACAGCTACAGATGAAGGTAAGTTATTCAATCGCATTTCAATAGCTTTGGTTCCGTATAGCATAAAAAAAAATGGACCTTTCAAGATCGTCTGCGCTTGTTTAATTACAAAGTAGCCAAGCGAGTTC